ATCAAATGTCATCCCATGGTAACCACAAAGAAAACAGCTACAGAATATACACAGAAGTAGTGAGAAAGATATTTAAAGGTTTCACTCTAAAAAAGTAAACTACACACAAAAGACGACAGTAATACAGGAAATGAAGGACCAAAAAGCTAAGCTATGTAGAAAACAAATAAAATGACAGAAGTAATTCCCTCCTTGTCAGTCAGCCTCAAAAAGGGAAAAATTCCGACACATACAACGTGGAGGAGGCTTGAGGACATTATGCTAAGTGAAATAAGCCAATTACAAAAGACAGTGCTGTATTAATACATTTACATGAGACACTTAGGGCAATCAAAACCATAGAGACAAAAAGTAGATTGGTGGTTGCCAGGGACAGGGCAGATGGGAAAATAGGGAACCATTGCTTAATGAGGCTAGGATTTAAGTTTTGCAAGGTCAAAAGAGATCTGGAGATGGATAGTGGTGATGGTTACAAAATATAAATTACTTACTACTACTGAATTGCACACTTAAAAATGATTAAGATGGAGCCGGGCGCGGTGGCTCAAGCCTGTAATCCCAGCACTTTGGGAGGCCGAGGTGGGTGGATCACGAGGTCGAGAGATCGAGACCATCCTGGTCAACATGGTGAAACCCCGTCTCTATTAAAAATACAAAAAAAAAAATTAGCTGGGCATGGTGGCTCGTGCCTGTAATCCCAGCTACTCAGGAGGCTGAGGCAGGAGAATCGCCTGAACCCAGGAGGCAGAGGTTGCGGTGAGCCGAGATCACGCCATTGCACTCCAGCCTGGGTAACAAGAGCGAAACTCCGTCTCAAAAAAAAAAAAAAAAAAAAAAAATGATTAAGATGGTATATTTCACATTTTACCACAATTAAAAAAGTGCAGAAAAAAGTTGTGTTAGATGTGTTTTCAAAATATGGTTCCTATTTCATCTATGTTACTTAGATTTGAGAAACTAAGCCTTGGTCTACACTGTACAAAATGAAATGGGGATTTGGTGAATATACAGTTAAGACAGATAGGCAAAGAAACCAACTTTGCAGTCTTGGTAACATCTAATTAACCAGATATTTACTGTATTGACTTTACTATGTTGGGTTTCTTAACCTGGGGAACATGCACTTGAGTGGAAAAAGAAATCACTCCTTTATTCTAATTGATAATGAAGTTTAGTATTCCTTTCAACTATGAAATGGCAACCAACCACAGTAATGTTAACAATTGTGCCTTTCACCAAAGGAAATGGCAGATCTTTTTATGTTACAATTGTTGCAGATATCTCAAATTACTGTCGATCCTCATTTCTCTTTTAAAATAAGTTTAAATTCACTTGTGTTTCTTTCGGTTTCCAATTTTAAGAAGTTTTTAAGGTAAACTGGTTTAAAAAATTAAAGTATTTAATAATGAAATTTTAATTTATTATAATGACCCAGTAAAATGTAGTTTCTCTAACTCTTTGTTTTAGTGACTGTGGATGTACTTAGGAAGTTTAAGTAGCCATCTTTATTGGGAGTGATTAACTCACCTAAAATTTGCAAAGAGTTTTTGTTCTCCTTGCATATTAAAACTTTTAGTAACTTTTCTGAAATTTAGAAGATAAATATAAGAGCAAAATAAAATGTAGCTTTTTAAAAGGATAATTTTTTAAAATCCAATTGTTTTTATAAAGATTTCAAGTAGCCTAATAATTGTTTCTTTTAAAATGTTTTCTTTAGAGGGAATAAGTTATCCATTTTTAAAATTACATTTTTGTTATCCCATTCTTACACAATATATTTAATACCTTTTTATATAGTTACTAGATAACGTCTTTATAATTATTTACCAAAAATTGAGTGATACATCAGTGATATAGCAATGATTATCAGTGATTTACACATTTTTTAATCTTCAAAGAAAGCATTTTTCAAAACTGTGAGGACATATGACTTACGTTAATTAGCAATAATAATTCAGCGATAATCCAAAACACTAATTTCCTTTTTTAAAAAGTAGTATATTTTTATACCTTTTATCTTCCTGTAATATATGTGTATGTCATGATTTTTAAAATTAAAAATAATACAGAATTGGGGCATTATCTGTGTATTTGCTGAAGGTTTACTATTTTCATGTCTTTTTTTTTGCTGTAGTTGAGACAGTCTCACTCCGTCACCCAGGCTGGAGTGCAGTGGCTCCATCTCCACTCACTGCAACTCTTGCCTCAGGCTCAAGTGATTCTCATGCCTCAGCCTCCCGAGTAGCTAGGATTGCAGGCATATGCCACCACGCCCAGCTAATTTTTATATTTTTAGTATAGACATGCTTTCGCCATGTTGGCCAGGCTGGTCTTGAACTCCTGACCTCAAGTGACCTGCCCATCTCAGCCTCTCAAAGTGCTGGGATTACAGGTATAAGCCACCATGCCTAGCCAGGGTTGTCTTTTAAGGCATCAAAGCCCAGATAACTTACAAAATGTTAATGAACACAAGATATTAATGAATACTGTATCAGAGCACTAGGGACTGAAGGCTGGTGTTCCCCCCTGCCACCCCATTCATATGTTGAAGATCTCCAGTGTGATGGCATTTCAAACTGGAACCTTCATAAGTGGGATTAGTACCTTTACAATAAGAAACATGGGAGAGACGGTATATCTTTACACCATGTGAGGATATAGCAAGAAAGCATCCATCTGCAAACCATGAGGAAGAATCAGCTAGCATCTTGGAACCTCATCAGGAACTTAACTAGCCAGCACCTTTATCTTGGACTTCCCTGCCTCCAGAACTGTGAGAAATGTATTTGTCTGAAGCACCCAGTCTACGGTATTTTGTTATAATAGCAAGGTGACTAAGATAGTTGGTACCAAGAAGTAAGGTGCTGCTATAACCAACACACAAAGATGTGGAAGCAGCTTTGAAGTTAGGTAACAGATAGAAGCTGGAAGAGTTCTGAGGTACATGCTAGAAAAAGCCAATATTGCCATGAAGGGATTGACAGAGTTGATTTTAGTGAGGGCTCAAAGAAAACAGGGTGGGAAACAAAGCCTCCATCTTCTTAGACAATACATAAATCACCACAAAATAGAATGTTGGTAGACATGGACAATAAAGGCCACGCTGATGATGTCTCCAAATGAAAATGAGGAAGCTGTTATGGGAAATTGAAAGAAAGGTGATCTTTGTTATAATGTGCCAAAGAACTTGGATGATTGTGTTCATGTTCTAGTGTTTTGTGGAAGTTAGAATTTTGAGCCATGAAATTCGATATTGAACTGGAGAGATCTCCAGCCAGTGTTGAAGGAGTGCCTGGACTGCTTAAAGTAAAAATTAAAACATAACAGACTTGTTAACCAAAATGGAACCAGAACTTAAAGGTTTGGGAAATTATCAGTCTGTCTGCATTACAAAAAGATAAAACTTGTTTGGAAGAGAACACTGAAGGTGTAGCAGACAAATCATCCACTTAGACTTGTGTGGGTGTGAACCACAGACCTAGTCAGCCATCCCAGCAGGAACACTGCCAGTTTTATTAAAAGAATAGAAATGGGACAAAATGAAGGAAGGCTGTTGGATTTGAAAGCATAGTGCTATTCGGCTGTGAATGTACACTATTCTTCAAGACAAGGAAAGACTGACCTTGAAAGGTGATTGAGAGAACATCAGGTGTACCTCCTCAGTTTCAAAAGGGGCAGTCATTGCAGTGGTTTTTCAACAGGCCTGACAGCTTCTGTCTGGTGATACAGGGGTCGTCCTCCTCCGACAATGTCCTGGGGGCAATACCTCTGCCTCATTGGTTCCTGAAGCCAGAACATCAAGCCAAAGAGGATTATTCTCAAGCCTGAAGATCTCATGGTGTTTGCCTTGCTAGGTTTTGGACTTGTTGGGGACCCATTACACCTTCCTTCTCTCCTGTTTCTTGCTTTGGGAATGGGAATGTCCATCCTTTGTGCGGCCTACCATTGTATTTTTCGAAGCACATAACTTGTTTCATTTCACAGGTTCACAGCTATAAAGGAATTTTGCCTCAGGATGAAGTGTACCTTGAATCTCACCTATATTTGACTTAGATGAGACTTTGGACTTTAGAGTTGATGCAGGAATGAGTTAAGAATTTTGAGGCTGTTGAGATGGAATGTATGTATTTTGCATGTGAGAAGGACATTAATTTTGTAAGGCGAGGTGCAGAATGCTATGGACTGAATCTTTGTGTTCCCCCAAAATTCATGTGGAAGCCCTAACCTCCAACATGATGGTCTTTGGGGGTGGGGCCATTGGGAGGTAATTAGATCATGAGGGTGGAGTCCTCATGAATGGGATTAGTGCCACTGTAAAAGACACAAGAGAGTAGATCTCTCTCTCTCTCATGTGAGGACACAGCAAGGCATCTATCTGCAAACCAGGAAGAGGGCCCTCACCAGGAAGTGCATTAGCTAGTGCCTTGATCTTGAATGGAATTCCCAGCCTCCAAAACTGTGAGAAGTGTTGCTCTTGTTTAAGCCATTCCGTTAATGTTGTTTTGTTACAGCAACCTGTGGTAAGACATAGGGCTTGGAAAGATATTTATTTTCTAAACATATCTAATGTTTAGGGTGAGTATTGAATTATTACGTCTGAAGATAGACATCTGTCTGTAAAATATGTTACTCTAGTCAACTGTGGAATATATTTTCCATCATTCACTCCCCCGCCCCCCCAATAGATCTATTTTGGGAGTCAGAAGTCAAAAAAAAAAAATACATGTAATTTAGGTTATCAAGTTTGGTTTCTTAATTTAATTAAATCTATTGCAGTTAATCTTCTATTTCTCATTAACTTTACAGGAAAATAATCAGACTTCATATAATTTAAGTATAACTTGTGTAAAATCCAAGTAAAACAGGAATTTTGGTGAAGCAAGGTATGGAAAATATCTATGTCTTAAAAATACAATGTGTGAAAAACAGTCTGTTATGTCTAGAGTTTGGGGGGTATGTGCAATTATTTCATGTAATGGATTTTTAGCAAATAAAAGGTATTTTTCCACCGGAATACTTCCTGCGTTGTATTTACTGCAGCTGAATCCACAGCCTGTCTTTTCTCATGTCACACTGGAATGCTGTGCTTCACATTTTCTTCTTTTTAATGGGAAAGATTCCAAGGATGTCTCTTCTTTCTGAGTATAGATGACTATAGGTAAAATACATACCTATTGTGGAGAAAGAAGTTGCACAAGTAAGCAAGGTTATCGATTTCTCTGGAAGGAACAATGATTTTAAAATACAGAGAGCTGCCCGAATTCCAGGGAGAAGACGCTCTCAAGGGAGATGTGAAGAAGGAATGCTTAAAGAAGTATCCAGATTTTATGCAGAAAGAGAAGTAAATCAAACTCTTCTATCGTACTTTTTTTTTTTTTTTTTTTTTGAGACAGAGTTTCGCTCTTGTTACCCAGGCTGGAGTGCAATGGCACGATCTCGGCTCACCGCAACTTCTGCCTCCTGGGTTCAGGCAATTCTCCCGCCTCAGCCTCCTGAGTAGCTGGGATTACAGGCACGTGCCACCATGCCCAGCTAATTTTTTGTATTTTTAGTAGAGACGGGGTTTCACCATGTTAACCAAGATGGTCTCGATCTCTTGACCTCGTGATCCACCCATCTCGGCCTCCCAAAGTGCTGGGATTACAGGCGTGAGCCACCGCACCCGGCTATCGTACTTTTTTTAATACAAGCAATTGTCTTCCTTTCTTTAGGGTAGCTCTTTGCATCTCTCTCTAAAGACTCACATTTTTGTCTTTTCTATGTGTTGTTTTTATGTTTCATATCTGTTACGTTCTAGAGATAATCATTATTTTGGAGATTTGTGATCATTAGAGCTGGGAAAACAAAAATTTAATAATCAAAGAAGTTTTTTTCCCCAATTGCCTGGAAAACCATTAACTTTAATGTTCAAATTTATTCAAGGACAAGTTTTTGTTTCATACATTTGTCTTGAGTTTCTAACACCGACTCCCATTTGCCTGATAGGAAGTGCCAGTGTGAAAAGCCAAACAAACAAGAAACAAAATGGAAAAATCAGAAATAGCCAATTCTTCTTAGTTTGACATCTAGGCGTTATTTGTAGATACCTGTGCACATGGTCAAAACGTCTATATCTCATACACAGTGCAGCTATATTTTCTGATGGTAAAATTGTTCCTGTTTGTACAGTGAAAGTGAAACATATGATTGATCCCATGATGCCCTGCAAAAAGCATTATAACCATTATATATGTTATATATATATATTATAACCATTATAATCATCAGGCTTCCTCTTTGGTCTCTCCCATGTTTACCAACCTATATATTAAGGTAGATGGCAAGCACTAACCAAAAAGCACAGGAAAAATGAAAAAACAAGACAAAGCCACTTACCTATAAAGAGCATCATGAGATATATTTTCAGCACATATGGGAAATAGATGGATAAGTCAAAGGGCAGCTCAGTGGAGTAAGTGCCAAATGATTCAAAATAAGGCAGTGATTGATAGATGGCAAATGCTGTTTAAAAAAAGGCATCATGAAGGTTTTCCTCAGTTGTTACAGGGATGTATATGTCTGTTTTCATAGTTGTAAGACATTTGAATTTGTTAATCCTGGTTTTGTAATAGTTGCTAAATCTTTTTGCTAAACCTAGTTTAATATAGAAATCTGCTAAAAGATTAAGTTGGCAAGGTGCTTACAGCAACATGACTTGTCGAATGTTCATCCATGGTATACTTTATCATGCCTACAGAGGAAGAATTTACAATGTTTCTTAAAATGTTACCTCAAAATACATTTGTCTGCCTAGCCGCAAATGGGGGTGCTAGACAAATGAACTTGGAAAATGGTGCATATATTTTCCTCTTAGAGTTTCAAAACACGTTAACACAGTAGAGATTTCGAGACATTCTGCAATAAAAAAAAAAATACCACCCAACACTTCCTCAGTCTAACCGGCCTTTGAATATGTGCTTCTTCCTCCTTAACCATCAGTAGTACTTAATAAATATTTTGAAGAACTCTATGAGAAATACTGGCCTAAATTATTTTGAGGGAGGGTGCTGGTGTCAGGTAGAAAAAGATAACATTTCAGTAAAATTGTATCCCATGTATAGATATTTTTGGTAACATTACATGGAATGAAATGGTAACATGCTAACAATATGTCAGATGTTATCATTAGGGTAAGCTGGGAATGGTGCACTATTTTTAAACTGTATCCCATGTATAGATATTTTTGGTAACATTTCATTCCATGAAATGGTAATATGCTAATATTCTATCAGATGTTATCATTAGGGTACATGGGAATGGTGCGCTGTTTTTCCAATTTCTTATGAGTCAAAATTATCCCTAAAGATTTTTAAAAAGAGAAAAATGTAAAAAAGGCAGGAGCTCACAACTATTAGAGCTGAGCAGAGGTATCAGTAGCATCCATGCAGGATCTGCAACTGATACCAACCATACAGTTTGAGATGAACACAGGCTGCCCCTGTGTGTCTCTGGCATTTGATCAGTACAGTTAGTTGATTTGGTTATTTACATAAACTTTTTGTCTTATATTTGTCAGGTGGGAAATTATGGTTATAAAAAATTATTTATCAAAGTTTTAGGTTTATTTAACTGCACATTTTTTACTTTGGGACATCCAACATATACAGAAACATACAAAGATAAAATTACAATCATCTGTACTCCACCACCCAGAGTTAATCACTGACATTTTTGCCATATATACCTCTAGACTATTTTCTGCACATACCTTATTTTGTAATTGAAAGAATAGGTTAATGAAGCTAATAAAAGAATAAGGGTGTATGGCAACCATATAAAAACATGGCTTTCCTAGGAAGGAAAAGGCTTAGAATTATGGAATAAGGAGGTGCAAGATGGCCAGGAAGAGGCAACGCCAGAATGCAGCTCCCAGCAAATGAGATGCAGAGGGCTAGAGGACTTCACAATTCCAAGCAAGGTGCCAGGTTTGTTTTGGTGGGAGTGGTAGGACTCTGAAAATAGCCCAGGGTCAGAGCAGCCAGGGAAGGTGAACTGAGACAGGGTGAGGTATGTCCCCACCTGGAATGTGCAGCCAGATTGGAGGGTTGGGGACTTCACCCCCTTGATGCTCCAATTAGGATCCTGTGCTTCCTCATCCCTCCTGCAACCCACGGTCCATGAGAGCCCTGCCAGACTGAGGGGCACTGTGGGTTGTCTATGCAAATCTGAGCGATGGCACAGTTGTCTGCATGGACCGGGCAGAAGTTTGGATTAACGCCATCAGGACGGAACTACTAGTCCCACAAAAGAGGCAGAGTTGAAAGCAGGGAAACAGCTCATAAGGCCTGGCAGGCCCCACCCCGACAAAACTCAAACTGAAGCCCAGGGGCTAGAGAGCTTTGCAACAAATACTCCAGTTTGACCCAAGCCAGGAAGACGGAGTTCGGAGAATGAGAGAACCATTTGGAAGGCAGGCTAATGTCACCAGCGTAAACAAACTCCAGGGGAAGACCACCCACCCAGCAACCTGACCGAATCTGAGGCAGCCCAGCAGTGCCTCTACAGGCCAAGAAAGATATAGCTCCCACCTCAACAGAAAGGATGTCCACTCAGAGTATCCTCCATAAATCATCAACTTCAAAGATCAAAGGGAGATAAATCCACAAAGATGGGAAGAAACCAGCACAAAAAAGGATGAAACCTTCAAAGACCAGAAGACCTCTTCTCCTCCCAGGGATCACAATTCCGCACCATCAAGGGAGCAAAACAAGACAGAGAATGAGTTTGAAAACTGACAGAAGCAGGCTTCAGAAGGCAGGTAATAACAAACTTCTCTGAGTTAAAAGACCATGTTCTAACCCAATGCAAAGAAACTAAGAACCTTGCAAAAAGGTTAGACAAAACACAAACTAGAATAACCAGCTTAGAGAAGAACATAAATGACTTGATAGAGCTGAAAAACAGCATGAGAACTTCATGAGGCATGCTCAAGAACTTTGCGAGGCATACACAAGTTTCAGCAGCCAAATTGATCAAGCGGAAGAAAGGATATCAGAGATTGAAGATCAGATCAATAAAATGAGAAGGCAATACTAGAGAAAAAAGAGTGAAAAGAAACGCACAAAGCCTCCAAAACTATGGGATTATGTGAAAAGACCTAATCTACACTTGATCGGTGTACTTGAGTGTGACGGGGAAAATGAATCTGAGCTGGAAAACACTCTTCAGGATATTATCCAGGAGAACTTTCCCAACATAACAAGCAGGCCAACATTCAAATACAAGAAATACAGAGACCACCACAAAGATACTCCGGAAGAAGAGCAACCCCAAGGCATATAATCGTCAGATTCACCAGGGTTGAAATGAAGGAAAAAATCCTAAGGGCAGCCAGAGAGAAAGGTTGAGTCGCCCACAAAGGAAAGACCATCAGACTCAGAGCAGATCTCTCAGCAGAAACTCTACAAGCTAGAAGGGAGTAGGGGCCAGTATTCAAAATCCTTAAAGAACTTTAAACCCAGAATTTCATATCCAGCCAAACTAAGCTTCTTAAGTGAAGGAGAAATAAAATCCTTTACAGACAAGCAATTGCTCAGAGATTTCGTTGCTACAAGACTTGCCTTACAAGAGCTCCTGAACGAAGTACTAAACATGGAAAGAAACAACTAGTACCGGCGACTGCAAAAATGTACCAAATGGTAAAGAAAAACAAAGCAATGAAGAAACCACATCAACTAACGGGCAAAACAACCAACCGGTAACAAAATGGCAGGATCAAATTCAAACATAACAATATTAACGTTGAATGTCAATGGCCTAAATGCCCCAATCAAAAGACACAGACTGGCAAACTGGATAAAAAGTCAAGACCCATCAGTGTGCTGTATTCAGGAAACCCATCTCATGTGCAAAGACTCAAATACACTCAAAATAAAGGGATGGAGGAAGACTTACCAAGCAAATGAAGAATAAAAAAAATCAGGGGTAGCAATCCTAGTCTCTGATAAAATGGACTTTAAACCAACAAAGATCAAAAGAGACAAAGAAGGGCATTACATAATGGTAAAAGGATCAATGCAACAGGAAGAGCTAACTATCCTAAATATATATGCACCCAATGCAGGAGCACCCAGATACATAAAGCAAGTTCTTAATGACCTACAAAGAGACTTAGACTCCCACACAGTAACAGTGGGAGACGTTAACATTCCACTGTCCATATTGGACAGATCAACAAGACAGAAAGGCAACAAGGATATCCAGGACTTGAACGCAGATCTGCACTCAGCAGACCTAATAGACATTTACAGAACATTCCACCCCAAATCCACAGAATACACATTATTCTCAGCACCACATGGCACTTTAAAACTGGCAACATAATTAGAAGTAAATTACTCCTCAGCAAATGCAAAAGAGGAAAATCATAACAGTCTCTCAGATCACAGTGCAATCAAATTAGAACTCAGGATTAAGGAAAGCACTCAAAATGCACAATCACATGAAATTGAACAACTTGCTCCCGAATGTTGAATGGATAAACAATGAAATAAAAGCAGAAATAAAAATGTTTTTCAAAATCAATGAGAATGAAGACACAATATACCAGAATCTATGGGACACATTTAAAGCAGTGTCTATAGGGAAATTTATAGGAATAAATGCCCACATGAGAAACAAGGAAAGATCTAAAACTGACAGCCTATTGTCCAAATTGAAAGAGCTAGAAGAGGAAGATCACAAAAACTCAAAAGCAAGCAGAAGACAAGAAATAACTAAGATCAGAACAGAACTGAAGGAGACAGAGACACAAAAAACCCTTCAAAAAATCATTAAATCTGGGAGCTCGTTTTTCAAAAAGATCAACAAAATAGATAGACCATTAGCCATACTAATAAAAATGAAGAGAGAGAATTGAACAGATACAATAAAAAATGATAAAGCGGTTTTCACCATCGATTCTACAGAAATACAAACTACCATCAGAGATTACTACAAATACCTCTATGTGTATAAACCAGTAAATCTAGGAGAAATGGATAAATTCCTGGACACTTGCGCCCTCCCCTCCCAAGACTAAATTAGGAAGAAGTTGAATCCCTGAATAGGCCAATAACAAGGGGTGAAGTTGAGGCAGCAGTTAATAGCCTACAAAACAACAAAAGTCCAGGTCCAGATGGGTTCACAGCTAAATTCTGCCTTACAAAGAGGAGCTAATACCATTCCTGTCGAAACTATTCCAAAAAATACAAAAAGAGGGAATCCTCCCTAACTCTTTCTATGAGACCAACATCATCCTGATACCAGAACCTGGCAAAGATACAACTTAAAAACTGCAGGCCAATATCCATGAGGAACACTGATGCAAAAATCTTCAATAAAATACTGGCAAAACAAATCCAACAGCACATCAAAAAGCTTATCCAGAACGATCAAGTCGGCTTCATCCCAGGGATGCAAGGCTGGTTCAACACACTCAACTCTATAAACGTAATCCACCACATAAACAGAACCAAAGACAA